TTCAAGTTATGATCGATCGAATCGTATTTCGCTCGAGCGAGAGTAGTGTCGCTCAAGCGAAATACAACCCGAGAATGCCAATTTTGTGCAGGGGCGTTTCGCTCGAGCGAGAATATTGTCGCTCAAGCGAAATACATTTGAGATAGCGGTTCCACAAGAACCGCTCTTAAAAGTGCACTTCTAATAGCAGTTAACCATTAACCGCTATCTAAATTATACTTTAGATAGCGGTTAACGTGGAACCGCTTATCATATCTTCTCATGAAAACTTACATTAACTATTTTTTTGAATATTATGTTTTTAAACTTGCTATTAGAGAAAACCTTTCAGAATTCAAAATGTTAAATACTTTTAAATATTAAAATTAACTTTATCAAAAATTAGGAAAAAAAATTAATCCAAAAGAGTTCAAAAATGTATTATAATATTGTCAATTTTGAGTTTAATTATATTGTTCATTCTCAAAGTAAAAAAATATATTGTAACTAGTTTAATTTAATAAAATATAATTTAAATTTTTAATACTAAAATTAAAAGATTTCGTTGCATGAGCATGAGGTTTCTTCACTTAAAAGATTTTGCAAAATGCCTCTACAAATGTTTTTAACAATTAAAAACAAAGTATTTTGACAAAAGCTTTCTCAAATGCCTCTACAAAGTATTTTTAACAATTATATTGAGTTTAATTCTACAAATTAAAAGATTAAATAATAATAAATTTAATTCTTTAAATTCAAGTAGCTAGAAACTAAAATTATAGTTTCTCTGTTTTAAATAATTAAAATAAATATTTAAAAATAAAAATCAAAACTAGTATTATCTTAAATTTATTAAAAGTGTAATTAAATATCTATTTTCTTAATTTTATTTGTTTCAAACTTCTCAATTCTACATTTTTGTAAGTTCTATCATTATATTATCATCATCATCTCCTCCCATGTTCTACTTTATCTTTACAATAGTCAATATTCTTAACTAATTTATATTTTTAATTATAATTTTTTAGTATATATTTTGAAATTAATCAATTCTAATCTATTATTTGAAAAACTAATCAATTCTAATCAATAATTTAGAAAACTAATCGATTATAATTAATTATTTGAAAAAATTATCAAATATGATCGATCATTTCTAAAATCTAATCGATCAGAATCAAATATCGCTCGAGCGATACTAGAGTCGCTCAAGCGTAATACAACCCGAGAATGCCAATTTTGTGCAGGGCGTTTCACTTCGAGCGAGAAGAGTGTCGCTCAAGCGAGATACATTTTAGATAGCGGTTACACAGAACCGCTCTTAAAAGCTCACTTAGATAGCGGTTAACCTGGAACCGCTATTATATCGTTTCAATTATGATCGATCAGAATGCAGTTATGACCGATCGGAACTATTTTAATCGATTAAATCTCGTTTCAATCGATTAAAACAATTTCTGCACAAGCGTTTTAATCGATTAAAACTTATTTTTATCAGCTTAAAATAACTTGAAAAGTTTTACGAGAAAGTTTTGCAAGTATTTCAATCGATTGAATCGCGAAACAATCGATTAAATCAACTTAGAAGATTTTTTGTAAAGTGTTTTAATTGATATAAACGTTGTCGTATCAGCTTAAAACAAATCATGTTAAAGAATCAAGAACGTTAAATTTTTTTTATATAAAAGTAATTATTATATATTTTTTTATTTTATAAAAATGATTAATAAAAGAAAATTTTATTATTTTTTTCTTTTTTTAGGTGTAAAAGTATAATTAAATAAAAGATAAATATATATACTTTTGCATTTTAATTTTCAAATATTAATTTTTTTATGAAATTAATTTTAATTAAAAAAATTAAAGTGATATATACATATATATATATATATTTTATTTTTAATTTATTAATATTATCAAATTTTAGCTTAATAATTAAAAAAATTACCAATAATTTAAATTTTAATATATCTATAATTTTATATAATTATTAATATAAATTTAATTCTTCTAATAATATTAACACATTTATTAAATTAAAATTCTTTACTTTAATTAATTATTTTAAATTTTTTTAACGATTTTTTTTAAATAAAAACAATAAAACTTAAAATTAATTTCTAACTAAATCTTCACATATTTATGGTTAATACTATATTATATTATTATGTTTAATTAAATTTTAAAATAAGTTCACTTTATTTTTACACTTATATATAAAAATGACTAATATAAACTTAAAATATATATCCAACTATTAAATTATCCAAGATATTAATATAAATTTAAAATATCAATTCAGTAATTAAAATAATTTTAATTTTTTATAAATACATTGAAATACATTTTTATTAACATACAAGTAATATATATATATATATATATATATATATATATATATATATATATATATATATATATATAAGAGACTAAATTAATAATTAATTTAATTATTGATTTAGTGACCGATTCTAAGTGACCGAATCAGTGACCGATCTAGTGACTAATTTAATAATCAATTTTAATTTTTTTATTCACTTGCTAAATTAAAAAATAAAATTAAATAATTATATTACTAAATTATTTAATAAGTTAGTAAACTATTTTTTTAAAATTTTTATAATGTTATTAACAATGTTATCACTTATTTTAAATTATTAAGTAGATTTATATTTAAAATATTTTAAATAAAATATTTATATAAATGAAAAATAGTTGTCAATTTAAAAATTATTTTTTTAGTGACTAAAAATTTAGTCACTAAATCAGCTTACTAAATATAAAAAAAATTCAGTCACCATTTTCGGTCACTATTAACCATTTTTCTAGTAGTGACTCGAATCGATGACCGATTCTGTGATCGAATCAGTGGATCGATATCTCGTGGATCGAAATTTTAGTCACTAAATCGACCACTAAATATAAAAGGGAAATCGATCAACGATTCGATTATTATCGATGACTCGAATTTTTCAATCACTAATTTCGGTCACTATTTGGTGTTTTTCTTGTAGTGTACATGGGGTTGCTTGATCAATGTCATTTAGCTCTATCAAAATATTTTTCTGTAATTGTATAAGAAAATATGCAACTGTTTGTCAGCAAAACATTTTTTTTTGTAGAATGAAACTCTTATTGCATGAATGTGGTTCAGGTAATTAAGCTTCATGATTATTCTCTTATGTTCATGATATTGCACATTTCAGGTCCGGCACCTGTATCTTATAGGCACCATACCTTTTAAAATAAATCAAACAAATAAGCATATAAATAGCCAACATAACATGTGAAAGTGATGAAGATCTTATTGAATTACTTTGGCAAAGATCTTGTTGATTTGATGAAGTCAAAAATGAAGTCAATGGCTACTTTGTGGCAGTCAAAGATCACTTAAATAAAAGGGTAGTGGGATTAGTGAGTCTGCATCTCTGCTTAGGTATAATCATTTTTATCTCTCTGTTGCATGAGGTTTCTTCATCTAAAATATTTTGCAAATGCCTCTAAAAAATGTTTAAACGGTTAAAAACAAAGTATTTTGATAAAAGGTTTTTAATTAGCTATTTTAACTAATAGCATATAAGCTTTATCAACTAAAATGTTCTTAACACTTTTGTAACAGGTTTTTAAGCGATATGTTTTCGAAATAATCGATTGTTTTCATTAGAAGGATTTTTGAAAACCTTCCGCAGATATTTTAACCGATATAGAATTGATATAATCGATTAAAATGACTTAGAATATTTTGAAAAGTGTTCGGCAGAATTTTAATCGATACAAACTCGAAATAATCGATTGAAATAACTTGAAGTGTTTTGAAAGTTGTTATGTCAGTATTTTAATCGATACAAATGCGAAATAATCGATTAAAACAACTAAGAGTTTTTTCCATAATGTTTTAATCGATTAATACAAGCTTGCTATCGCTTAAAATAACTTAGAAAGTTTTATGAAATCTTTTGGAAGAATTATAATCGATTAAAATGTGTTTAATCGATTAAAATAACTAAGTGAACTTTTTTCAAAGTGTTTTAATCGATTAAAACAGATTGTTATAAGTTAAAATCACTTAGAAAAGTTTATAAGAATGTTTTGCAGTATTTTAATCGATTGAAAGACGAAACAATCGATTAAAATAGTTTTTTTGCAAAGAGTTTTAATTGATATAAACGGTGTCGTATCAGCTTAAAACAAATCGGAAAATAATCAAGAACTTTTTAACAAATTAAAAGAAGTTTTAACAGATTAAAACAAAACTTTTAACTATTTAAAATATTATTTTAACAGATTAAATAAACCAGCGAGCTTTGAAAATCTTCTATATAAACAGAGTTGCTTGAACTTTTTAATACACATCTTTTGGCAATTAATCAAGCAATCATTAGTGCTACTTTCAAGAAAGAATCGCGTTAGTTTTGTGAAGTTCATAGAAGTTCTTTCTTGAGGCAAAATTTGCATTCTTTTGGAGAAGAAACTCATACTGCAGAGCTGCATAAATCTGGTTTGAGCGTTCTAGCTTCTTCTATTTGTTTCTTTACTTTCTTTACTGTATTGTGGGTGCCTGGAATTGTGGGCACTCGGTTTTCGTGGCTGGAATTTGGTCTGCAGGGTTGTTCAAGAACTGGAATTTGGTTCTTGGTGAAGGTTTAGGTGCAGTGGACTGGAATTTTGGTTCTTGTGGTAGATTGAGTGTGAGATTAAAGTTGTAATCTGTAAAACGTTCAATCTAGTGGAACCCGGCTGGAATTTGGCTGGAAACTGGACGTAGCCTTGGGATTGGGTGAACCAGTATAATTCTTGGTTGTATCTTTCTAAACCTTTCTCTCATTTAATTCTGTCATTGCCTTTATTTTGATTGCTTGTTGTGTGTGATTCAAGAACTGGTCAGATTTCTTAATCTTTGAAATAGATAATCTGTAAATTGCGAAAATCTTTCAAAGATCAATTCACCCCCCCTCTTGATCTCAGCCTACATTTCTAACAACATGAACTAAACTTGTTAAGAACTAAGCAGTAACTATAAACTAAACTAAAATCCTTACAGAAGACTCAATGACAAGGAGCTCTTCTTCTGTAAGTTTCCTCCAAACTCCGCCTACTATGAGATATCCTTTGTCCCCTTGCAATGGAAATTCATTGTTTAATTCACTAAATTCTTCGGTCCCCCTCATCTTCTTAACAGTTGATTTCTCAAGTTGCAGAAGGTCAAATGTGGCATCTCTCTTGGCACCATGTGGGGCCAATTTCCAACTCTCTTTCTTTTCCAATAATTGATCCTGTTCTTCATAGTCAGTAATGTCAACAACGGGAAGACAACCAGATGATACTTGATTTTGTTTTTCATTGTCGAAAATGTCAAGAACCGGAAGACAGCCAGATGACCTGACAAGCATGGGGCAACATTCCAATTGGACATGGGTTCCATGATTTTGCCAAGGTCCATGTCTCGTGATTTTTAGTGTCACAATCCATGGCCATTGGTTTTTTATTTTTCAAAAGCCGATGTTTAACTAACTCTAGCTTTTTATCTACTTCATGTATAGATTCCTCATATTGGAAAATGTTATTTGAAGTTAATAAAGAGCTTTGATTATCTGCACTCGCTCTAAATTGGACAAACCGACGTGAGAGAACTTTTGAAATTTCTGCATCAAGGAGCCGTCATCCATCGGTTCAGTAATCAAGTGTTGAATCCACCAATCGCTTGTTGAAAAGTTGTGATATTAGAAGACATCTACGAAGAAGTTCAAGCAAAACTCCTTTTGGCATATGTGCTCGCAATGTAAGGAACTTTACTGAGAATTCCAACAAACCAAGCAAACAAAGAAGAAAGCCGAAACTCTGTCCTCGATTGCGAAATTCCCATATTTGGGTTATCTTCTTCACGCTTCATATCTTCCCGACTCTCAATCATATCTAGGACTTCCTTAAGAAGATTCAGAAGTAATTCTGGTTCCTTATTGCACAATTTGAGTAAGATAAGCTTCCAATCAGCCAAAACGTTCTTTGTGGTTAGACCAATTGAAGCATCATCTGCATTCTCTTCCAACTCTGAGGAACTTAAAGCTTTCAAAAGATACTCCAACAACACAGAAACAATCTCTGAAGAAAATGAGGAATATAACCAAAGAACATATTTCAAGATCTTCGTAATTTGTTTCTTAGATCCTCCAGGTCGTGATGTTTGACTCTTGCCAACCATAAGAGACAAAAGCTTATTTCGTCCAAAAAGGAATTCAGTATGTTTGACCCAGACGTTTTCCCTTTAGCTGTGACTGGGCATTCCAAGAAGACAGCTAATTCACGAATCTTAGACTTAATTTCTTTCTTCACTTTTGTTATTCCTTCACCTTGAAAAGGAATTGCTTTGCTATGAGGTTCCCAATAGTAAGATTTTAACCAATCAAGTTGTGAAGAAAGAAGTCCCACATCGGTGGGAACTTCAATTGGGGGCTCTCCTCCTTCTTATAAAAGGAGCCCCTCCCTCCTTATTTCAATATCCCAAAATTTCTTTCCTTCTCTAAGTATTAGAAAGTGTTGTCATTCTTAGGACTAGAGAAGGGGTATGTAATTTTTCTTTCTATTATAAAATTTCCACTTTTGTCTATTATTGCTATTCAATTTTTCTCTTCTCTATTTTAGTTGAGTTCTTGTGCAAGTAGTCTGATACCTAACAGTGGTATCAGAGCCACGTTCTTATTCCGTTGCGCTAGTCACTAGAATAGTGTTGGTAAAATTCTGAGTATGCTCTGTGGTTGCGGTTTAATCTGATCTTCCACATCAGAAAAGAGTCGTTACTGGAAAAGGTGTAGTAGTGTGAAACTGTTGTCTGGGGAAGTTCTGGCTAGGAAAGATTTGGTACTTAAGTGTGTCCATTAGTGACTCACCTCTCTTTCCTGGGAACTTACCTAGTGTATTGGTTCACTGGCCTACTACTATTGTTCCAAGAGACAATACTATTCATAAGTGAGAGTTGCATAAGTGGAAACACAACCATGGCAAGCAAAGTATGAGATAGAGAAGTTTAACGAGAACAATTTCTCGTTATGGAAATTGAAGATGAAGGCAATTTTGAGAAAGGACAATTGTCTTGATGCAATTGAAGGAAGACCCGCAGAAATGACGGATCGAAGTGGAAGGAAATTGACAAAGAACGCTATTGCAAATTTACACTTGGCAATGGCAGCACTCGGCTCTATCCAAGGTGTTGCGAGAAAGATTCTCGCAAAGGAGATTTGGGATGCCCTCATTAAATTATATGAGGTGAAGTCACTTCACACAAGGATATTCCCGAAGAGGAAACTCTATACTCTTCGGATGAGTGAGTCCACATCGGTGACGGACCACATCAACCAACCGAACACCTTGTTTGCCCAATTAGCAGCGAAGAAATTTCAACATAATTGAGAATGAACGTGCAGAGCTTTTACTTCGAGCTTGCCGGACTCGTATGATCAACTCATCATCAACATTACAAATAATAATATTGAAGGACAACTACACTTTGACGATGTTGCCTGGAGCTATTCTAGAAGAAGAATCTAGGCGAATGAATAAGGTAGAAAGTTCTAAACAAGCAGAAGTTTTGACGATGATGAGAGGAAGATCAATGGAACATGGCTCAAGTGGGAGTCAAGATCATGGCAGATCGAGCTCTCGAAACAAGAAGACTTTCAAATTTAAATGCTACTACTGTGGCAAGAAAGGGCACACGAAGAAAGAGTGTTGGAAGAGGAAGAATGAAGAATCAACCTCACAGGGTTGCGTTGCGAGTACTTCAGAGGAAGGAGTAATTTTGGTAAGCGAAGCAGCAATCAGCTCTAATGGCGGAAACGAATTTCATGACAAGTGGATAATGGATTCAGGTGCAACTTGGCACATGACCCCACACCGAGATTGGTTTCAAACCTACGAGCCTATCTCAGGTGGATCCGTGTTCATGGGAAATGACCATGCATTATAGATTGTTGGAGTTGGTACTGTCAAATTAAAAATGTATGACGGTACTATTCGTACAATCCAAGAAGTATGACATGTGAAGGACTTGAAGAAAAATATATTGTCTATAGGGCAATTGGATGACCTCGGCTGCAAGATCCATGTTGAAGGAGGAATCTTAAAGGCAGTGAGGGGAAACATAGTTGTCATGAAAGCAGAGAAAATCATGGCAAACTTGTATGTGCTTATGGGAGACACCTTGCAAGAAAATCATGCAACAACTGCGTCAACAAGCCAAGAAGAAGCGGCGGTAACGTGGCACCGTAGACTTGGACATATGTCAGAGCGAGGTCTGCAGATTCTTGCGGAACGTGATCTCATACCTGGGCTCAAGAAGGTCGATTTACCCTTCTGTGAGCATTGTGTGACAAGCAAACAACACAGGTTGAAGTTTGCGAGAACCACCACAAGGAGTAAGCAAACTTTGGACTTGATCCATTCCGATGTCCGGGAATCGCCGAATTATCTCTTGGAGGAGCAAAATATTTTGTGTCATTCATCGATGACTACTCGAGGAGATTATGGGTATACCCTATCAAGAAGAAGTCTGAAGTATTTGCGCGGTTCAAAGACTTCAAAGCACAAGTAGAACTTGAGACCGGAAGGAGAATCAAGTGTTTGAGGACAGACAATGGAGGAGAATATGTAGATGGAGATTTTCTAGCATTCTCGCAAGCAAGAAGGAATTGTGAGACAATTTTCTGTTCCACACACGCCTCGCAGAATGGTGTAGCAGAGCGGATGAATAGAACTCTTCTAGAGAGAACCGGAGCTATGCCGCAAACTGCAGTGCATAACAAAGTCTTTTGGGCAGAAGCCGTGAATACCGCCCGTTACTTGATAAATCGGTCTCCATCAACAAGAATTGGGTTGAAAACTCCTATGGAAATGTGGAGTGGAAAATCAACCGATTATTCTTCCTTACATGTGTTCTGTTGTCCCGCGTACGTGATGTACAACACCCAAGAAAGGACGAAGTTGGATCCAAAATCCAGGAAATGCATCTTCTTGGGATATGCCGACAATGTGAAGGGGTATCGCTTGTGGGATCCCACCGCCCACAAAGTTATTGTTAGCAGAGATGTCGTCTTTGCATAAAATGAACCGCAAAGCAAGCAGATAAATGACAACTTGGAAAAGGACAAGACTATAGTACATGATAGAGAAGAAGACTTCGGAACATTCCTCCGAGTCGAGGAGGAGCATGAAGAACATGAACCAAATGAGGTGGAAGAAGGAGAACTCCGACGATCAACAAGAGAAAGAGTCGGACCATCTTGGCATTCACAATATGTGATGGCAAGTCATGATGCGTATTGTCTCCTAAGTGAAGAAGGAGAACCTTCAACTTTTCAAGAGGCCGTGAGTGGTTCGAAGCTCCTCTATGGATGGCCGCTATGGAAGAAGAAATTGAAGCTCTTTATAAAAACAAGACATGGCATCTTGTGGAACTTCCAAAAGGTCGCAGAGCCATTGGTTGCAAATGGGTCTATAAGATCAAGAGAGATGCCAATGATCAAGTGGAAAGATATCGTGCTAGACTCGGTGGTAAAAGGATATGCTCGTAAAGAAGACATTGATTTCAACGAGATATTCTCACCAGCTTGTTAGATTGACAACAATCGAATTGTCCCGGCGATGTGTGCTGCATTTGATTTACATCTTGAGCAATTGGATGTAAAAACCGCTTTTCTTCATGGAGAACTTGAAGAGGAAATATATATGCTCCAACCGTAAGGCTTCAAAGAGCAAGAAAACTTGGTTTGCAGGTTGAACAAATCTCTTTACTGGCCTAAAGCGAGCGCCAAGGTGTTGGTATAAGAGATTTGATTCCTTCATTATTAGCCTCGGATACTACAGTACTATGTTCGGACCATCGTACTTACCACAATAGGTTTGAAGAAAATGATTTCATCATATTGTTGTTGTATGTGGATGACATGTTGGTGGTAGGCCCTAACAAAGCTCGAATCCAAGAATTGAAGGCACAATTGGCTAGGGAGTTTGATATGAAGGACTTGGGACCAACAAACAAGATTTTAGGGATGTAAATTCACCGAGACAGAAAAGATAGGAAGATTTGGATTTCTCAAAAGAATCATTTACTTAAGATCTTGCGGCGCTTCAACATGCAAGATTGCAAGCCAAATTTCTACCCCACTTCCTGTCAACTGTAAGTTATCCTCAAGTATGAGTCCTAGCAGTGAAGCGGAGAGGATTGAAATGTCTCGAGTACCGTATGCATCAGCAGTGGGAAGTCTTATGTATGCCATGATTTGTACAAGACCTGACATTGCACAAGCAAGTGGGAGTGGTTAGTAGATTCATGGGGAATCCTGGTGGAGAGCATTGGCAAAATGTGAAGAGGATCCTTAGGTATATAAAAGGAACCTCAAATGTTGCATTATGTTATGGAGGATCGAAGCGAGTTGTTAGAGGCTATGTTGATTCGGATTTTGCAGTGATCTCGGATAAAAGGAAGTCTACTACTCGGTTATGTGTTTACCATCAATGGAGGGGCAGTAAGTTGGTTATCCAAGTTACAAGATGTGGTAGCTCTGTCTACTACGGAAGCCGAATACATGGTCGTCACCCAAGCATGTAAAGAAGCTATCTGGATTAAAAGAATAATGGGGGAACTTGGTCACAAGCAACAACAAATTGTTGTGTACTCGTGATAGTCAAAGTGCCTTACACATTGCAAGGAATCCAGCCTTTCATTCGAGGACAAAACACATAGGAATAAGATATCATTTTGTTCGAGAAGTAGTAGAAGAAGGAAGTGTAGATTTACAGAAGATCCACACTGAGAAGAACCTAGCAAATGTAATGACAAAGCCGGTTAATGCTGACAAGTTTATACGGAGTCGATCCCTCTATGGCCTATCGAAAGCATAAGCAACATGGATGTGAGAGAAGAAGACATAGTGTGAAGATTTGATTAATTTCATCAAAATCTTCAAGTGGGAGATTGTGAAGAAAGAAGTCCCACATCGGTGGAAACTTCAATTGGGGGCTCTCCTCCTTCTTATAAAAGGAGCCCCTCCCTCCTTATTTCAATATCCCAAAATTTCTTTCCTTCTCTAAGTATCAGAAAGTGTTGTCATTCTTAGGACTAGAGAAGGGGTATGTAATTTTTCTTTCTATTATAAAATTTCCACTTTTGTCTATTATTTCTATTCAATTTTTCTCTTCTCTATTTTAGTTGAGTTCTTGTGCAAGTAGTCTGATACCTAACACAAGTGCCTTGACAGAAGCACTACGAACAATCTTAAGTGATGGAAGCTCCCAGTGTGATCCCTCATGTCGAATATCAATCAGCATGCGCGAAATACCAATTGCATCAGCTGCAACTGTAATTGATGTGACTTCCTTCTTGCGCGTCTTCTCAACAACAACATTCACAAGCCTCATGACTGACCATGCAATATAACATAGCAAGCATCTCTTCCGAAAGTGAAGCTTCATTCATTTGATCCTGCCTGAAATAGGAGTCTTGGAGTTGAATTTCAATGATGGAAGCAGTGACTTCGATGAAAACCGGCGTCGAACCTCGGCTTCACCATTGACTGAAAACTGCAATAATCTTACAGAAATTTCTCATAAACCTACACTCACTTTTGATGAGCCAAGTACTGAAACGAAGCACCTTCTTAAAGTGCTAACCTGCATATCACCTGAAGCATTGAATGCATCAGTTAGTGAAATTAGAGAGGTAGTCCATTTGAATGATGTGATGCCAACTCCAGAATTCTTAAATAGACCACTAAAGATGCTTCAACAATAAAAACAACCAGGCCTCATTACACAAACTGGGAAAAATTTGGCATCAGATATTGAGCTATCTTCACAAGCTAGATATGTGACTTGCCATGATTTTGTTCCAACTTTAAGCATCTCGTAACTAAAATATTGTCAGTTACCAAAATGAATATTCTCTTAGCTAAAAGTGATTTAGTGTGACTTATATAAATACCTCCTATAAGTGAAAGAGAACTAAAAATATTCAATGCGTGGAAGATCAATAAATGCCTTTAGCATTAATAATTTATTTAATTGCCAATAGTTTACCTAAAATAAACTTGAAGTAACAAAGTATCATTTCAAAGTTCAAACATCACTTATTAAAGTGTCACATATGCACAAATAAAACATACAAATATAAAAAGGTTATACAAGTATAGGTAAATAACATTATTCTTCCCTAAAGTTATGTAAAAAACAATTTTTGTGAACCAAGTTTAAAACCATACATTTTACCCCATTTTAATTCAGAAACAAGGTCATTGAATCAAAATTTATATTGCAAATTGTTAGGATAATTTGTTAATCATGATTCATAAATCGTACAAGTGAAGAGAGTAGAATCATAAAAGTAACTGAAAACACCAGTGAGGAAAGTAGATTACACAGTTTTTAGCCCTGTGAAAAGCAAATGTGTGAGACAAGAAGGACATTGGAGAAAACTATTGAGAGGATCTCATGGTAAACGATATTCTAAAAAAAAATCTTAAACAGAGCCGAATGACATTTTGTAATCCAATAGCCAACCTCACCTAGTTAAATATGCTTTTTTTGTCATTTGATTGATTCATAAACTCTATGAAATTGTAAAATTTAGTGATATAACAAAGAATAACTTAGATATATCATCTAAATAATGAATATTGCTCAATGAAATAATTTTAAACTAGAAAATGACCAAAAGTTTCACATAACAAAATAATGAGTTATAACTGAGTGTTTGAAGCCTTTATTTTCTAAGACTTAAAGCAGCAACGATACAGCCAAATACAACATATAGAATTAGTAAGTGACCACCTGGAGCCCCTGTTTTATAAGAAGGAAACTAAAACATCTGAATAATCAAATAGGATGTGTTTAATAGTGCTCGTTCCTTTTCTTTTGCATTGGTGATATGGAATTGATTCATCCATGTATCATAATTTATGAGATCCATAGCCAAGTCATATCAAAGTCAAATCATGTCATTCAAATAGTGAAATGTAAGATTATCATACTATGTTAAATATATATATATATATATATATATATATATATATATATATATATATATATATATATATATATATATATATATATATATATATATATTCCCCCTTTGCATTCCCCTGAAGATTCAGAAATAATGTAATTACAAATACTTAAGTTTCAACTGACAAGAGAGGTCATCTAACATGTTTTAGACTGTTAACTTCACCTAAAAACTGCTAACAGTGAAAACATAATTTCCTGTTTCTGTTTTCTCATGTATTGAGAAAAGAATAGTCAATGGAAAAATTTAGTGAAGCAGAAAGAGCCCGAAAAATTGATTCATTTCTCAAATGTGGAAAATAGCATTAAAAACACCATCTGATTTGCACGAGTACTGAACTTCATGTCGGTCAACCATAGAGATAAAACACAGTATGACAGTATGCGATGTGCCAATAAGTACTAATATGACCCAAGGACTTACCTCTGGTTCTCAATTATAGGTACGCGAGCAAGAACAAATTCACAGAGGAAATTACCATTATAAAATATGCTGAATTCTATCAAAAAGAAAGACGCAGAGGAAATTCCACTAAACAAACCCCCTCTGCTCGTGAATTGTAATTGAAAATTTAAATTGGATTAAATAAATTTAATTAACCATGATAATTACAGTGAGTAACCCACCGTAAGAGAGGTACATAGTAAATCAAATCAAATAAAAATACCCAAGGAACAAATAAACCCTATCGTTGTTGCTAGGTTACATGAAACCTAATCGCTGGACAATAGGGAACATACTCAGAAGTTGGAAATTACTAAATAGAATCGGAAGAAAGCACAACTAACTACTACTAAGATTAACTGTTCTTTTACCATAGAAAGTCACTAACAAATCAAAACACAAATTGAAGTTTGCATAAAATACATAAGATTTCAAAAAACACATGTCCCGACAGTGGTGCTGTAGGGCAGTGGCAACGACACGACAGCAATGCGGTAGCAGGAGCGGCGGCAGCGGGAGTAGCGGCAACGGCAGCGGCGGCAGCAGTAGCAAATGTAGTCTAGGTTTTTGAAAGTGAAAGAAGGAGACGTAGGTAAAGGGATAGAGAATTTTGGGAAAAAAAGATTAATTTAATATTTTTATTAAAAAATTATAAAATTTTTATCATTTTAAAAAAATATTTGTATTATTATATTAAAGATGTTTATATTTAAAATAATATTTAATTAAATAAATATTTTAATATAATAATTTTTTTTATAAAGACTAATTTCTAAAAAAATTATTTATAAAATTTTCTATTAATTTAAATTATTAAATACAACCTACAAATTTAAATTTATAAAAAATTTACAAAAAATAATTTTAAATATTTATCAATTTTTTTAGATATTTTTTCAAAAAATTATAATTATTTTCAAATAATTTATATATATATATATATATATAATTAATATATTTATAATAAATTTGGTAAAAATAGTTTTTAAATAATTTTATAATTATTTTTTTGCTATAAATTTGCTACAATTTAACTATGATTGTATGTTATATAATTTAGCTAAGAAATAGTTTTAAAAAATAACATAGTTAATATTTATAACTAGGGATTAGTGACAAAAATTTTCCCTAACTAAATTATTTTTCTACTAAACGAGGGAATAACTACAAAAATATTATCTTCTTGCTATTTTACTACAAATTAACTACAATTTTATTCTTTTACTATTCTATAGCTAATTAGTTACAAATTAGTTAAAAATAAATTTTATAGCAAATTTTCCTAGCTAATCGAGAAATTTATTGTGGTGTAACCTAACAAAAGGCATCATATTAAGACTATATAAAAGTTAAAAAATTGTTTTGTTCAATATTTTGATAAAATGTATTTACAATTTGACATTAAATAGTTTTAATGTTTGCCCATTTCAAACTTTACATGACATCAATAAATTAAATTAATAATAATAATATTACAAAAAAAAAAAAAAGCCATGGTCTTCATTCAAATTTTTGCCCATGTAAACTTCTCATGATGAGTTGCCTCTATCGTTTTAAATGTCTTCTTACCATTTCTCGTAAACTGATATCTATGTGTTCCTAAAATTATTCTTGCAGGCTTTTACCTATCACGTAAGGTTAATTGTTGTCTTTTCATCCTGTTTTGTTTATTTTATTTCCATGTGTTTCTCTATGACAATTTGTTTCATGTTGTACGAGGAAACAACATTAAAATGCATGTTGACATTCTGAGAATTTTAAAAATTTATTGCACCAAGTTGGAGTAATGTCTTGTGTGGTAAAAATTATTCAATGTCATATACAATCTAAAAACATCAACTATGTTAGTAACCAAAAACAATAGTTGAACATTTAAGAAAATAAAAGAAAATATGTTATAGGGAGAAATAGCTACATTGTTTAAGATGAATATGATTTATATTTTAGACATTTGTACCTCATTTTTGGTCATTCAATAAATCACAAGAAATAGATGGTAAGATATCAACCATTAGGCAAAGAAATGTTTCACAACCCAAATTTATGGCATAATAATATTTTTATAATTCATGAGACCTTTTTTGATAAATAATCAAATAACAACTTGTAACAAATTTAAATTTAAAATTGATAACATGTCTTGTAATTTATTTAAGTGAATAAATACACGTTACAAGAACAAATCATTTTAGCGACCGAAAAGTTCAGTCGCTAATGTAAAAAAATTGGTCATTAATAAGTTAGCGCTCGAAATTAATATATTAAATTGGTCTCTAAATCGGTAAAAAAGTTAAAAAATAACGACCGATTTAAATCGATCGCTAAATCAATGACAAAGTTAATTATTTTTATTTATTTATTTACAACCTCTCTATTTATCTAAAGACTCAACTACCTCATTTATATTATATTTTTATTATTCATTACATTTTTTAAAAATTTGACTTATTACCATATTATTGTCATTGTTAGGATTTGAACCTGGTACCTTAAAATTGGAGAGTTGAAATAAAACCACTAATCTACTAGGATTTTTCAATAATAATTTACAAATAAATTATATTTATATACAAATAAATGTATATCCGCATAAATATATAAATATAAAATCTATAAATACAAATATATTTATATATTTTAATATATATTTAAATATTGATATATTTATATATTTATATATTTATATATTGATATATTTATATATTTATATATTCATATATTTATATATTCATATATTTATATATATATCTTTATACATTTATATATTTATATATTTAAGAAAAAATTAAAAATTTAAATATTATATTTTTAAAAACAAATATTAGAAAAAGGTTTAAAAATATATATATAAATTATATTTACATGTACAAAATATTAAAGATATATATTTATATCTTTACATATTTTTATATTTATATATTTATATATTTATATATTTATATATTTATATCTTTATATCTTTATATATTTATATCTTTATATATTTATATCTTTATATATTTATATCTTTATATCTTTATATTTTTATATATTTATTTATATATTTATATATTTATACATTTATATCTTTATATATTTATATATTTAAGGAAAAATTTAAAATATAAATATGAAATATTAAAAATAATATTATATTTTTAAAAACAAATATTAGAAAAAGGTTTAAAAACATGTATAAATTATATTTATATGTCCAAAATATTAAAAATATCTACATTTAAAAAAAATACTAAAAAATATTAAAAAATTATACTTTAAATCGATGAAAATATTTAAAAAAAAGTTATATTTATTAAAGTATTAAAAAATATTTTGTAATATATAAGTTAAAAAAACTATCATTAAAATTTTTAAAAATTATTAGTTTTGTAATTTATACACAATGAAAATAAATTAC